AGAATGTTGTGAGCAACCAAGAAAAAAATAATTTCCCAGAATCTACCAGCACCCTGAATGAAAACCACAAATCTCACAGCATGATCATAAAATAATTCACTGTTACCCAATACACCATTCAGGAAACACAGAAAATGTCAGAGAATGTCTCCATCTTATAGCTGCAATTAGAGCAACTAACTTTTTCCCTGCCTTTATATTAAGGGTAAGAATTTGAACTTCAAATAAATACCTATATTATATATGCAATTTGAAAAATATCACCTTTCTCCTGATCGCAAGGTATCCAGAAACTGATGTCACCTTTCCCAGACTTGTTTGTGGCCTGCAGTTTTTCCCCTTGGATTTCTCCAACACCATTTCTGATGACTATTCATGAGAAGCTCAATGCAAGTAGCCCCTCTTCTAGCTGACAGTATACTGCAGGTGAAACTTTAGAAGGGATTTGATCAGCTATGGAACCATATTTTAGTAATTTGACATAATTTATTGGTACCAAATGTGTCTAACTGCTTCAGGTGAAATACAATGAAACAGAATATTTTTCAATTTGTTAAATTAAAAAGCTGAAGTATAACATTTGAAATGTCTTTTGAAATGTATTCAACTCCTCTACCCTCCAAACCAATATTCTGCATGGCGAAGTGAAAAGTTACATTTGATTTAACTATCTTTTAACCCTTTGGGGGATGGGGAAAGGAGATCTCAAAAATTCACCTCAGTTCTTCCTTGCTATAGGCTTTAGCCAACGAGCAACAAAAATCAATTGTTTGCATTAACAACTAAATACTAGGGTGAGGGTTTTTTCCCCTCTAATGCTAAAGAAAGTCTGAAATTTGCTTTTGAAACTCTGAGGAAGAAAAAGACAGGAAGGAGTGAAAAAATATCCCAAAAAAAAATCTGAAACTGGGGCTTGTTCTATTTTGTAACTCAAAAGCAGATGAGTGTTAGCTCACGTTTCTCTCACATGGTTTTGAGTTACATCCCAGCTACTCCTGTGGTTACATCACACTTACTCATAGTATCTAAAAATTACTGGAGGAATATATGGAAGCCTGGTTTCTTCCATTCTAGTCAGATGGCAAAGGGTGGAAAATGCTAGTCATGCCTTCTGTCGTGCCCCGATGCAACCCAACAGGACCAGAGCTGCATGGCTAAACTTCCAGACTGGAGAGCAAGGAGGGTGTATGTCTCTGTCCCATCAGGGACACTCCCCAGCACACACTCTGTTCTGTTTAACAGTTGGTCCACAATGGAGAAGAAACACATCAACAAGTTCCCATGACCTTTAGTGGCCAATGTGAGACGTGGCAGCCTGGCTACTCAGATATTTATCCAGCCAAGACTGTAGTAGGGTCACCTGCATCTCTGAACTCTCAGTGCCTCCAGACACATAGCAAAATTACTGGCTAATATTGAAACTCTAAGTCTGAATTAAAAGGTTTAGAGGTGTGGTAGGTAGGCTGTAGGAATAATCTCTCACTGTTAAGATTAAACTACGCCTACAGAGATATGCAGACTCTATGCTTCTTGTCTCCTAAGAGTGGGAAATAATGCTGTAGATCACAGCAAGTAACACAACAAAGCTGCTGTCAAGAAATATCTGATTTTAATTGAAGTGACACTCCATTATCCAACAGCTCCAGGCAACTCAGCTTATCCTATGCTGGGAGATGGGCTGTAGGTGGGCACCCTCACTGCATGCTAGTCTGTCTTCTCTGATGAGCCACATCCTGAGCTGCACCTTCTCCTGACCTTCAGGTATTGACAGTGAGCCATCTGCAGTTTCTCTCCAGGATGGAAAAGATGGTGCAGTCTGTGTAACATTTCATTTCTGCTTCAAAAAAATTAAATTCTTGATATCGGGGTGAAATGACACAGAGAGGGGTAGACTAAGAGGAGCTACTTCCAGCAGCTGGAATTATGGGTTCACACAAAACTCTGCAAATTTTGTTCTCATGAACTGAAATGAAACACTGAATGACTATTTCCACATAAAAGTTTTTTTCTTTTGCAATTTTCTCCCTTGGCCTCTCAAAAACTTGAAAAAATAAAAAGGGTAATAATGTAATCATGCAAGGTCTGAGGAATAAAAGGCTAGCAAAGGACCTGATTAAAAAAAAGAAATCTCACAGTTGAAATATTACATTAAAAAAATGGTACAATGAAATATTATAATACCACCAAAACCTTTTAACCTTTTCACTTCAAAGAAAAACTGAAAAACCAATGAACTGATATTAAATTTATATTTTCATGAAACAACATTTTTACTGGAAAAGCACTCCACCAGGAAACATTGGCCCAGCTGTAAGAACTTTAAATATAGATTGCTCAGAAGAAAAAAATATTCTATTTTGTATTGTTGCCATTCAAGAGTAAGAGACATTTTACATATTAAGTTCTGACATACTTATTTATTCCTGTAAAAGGTTCCATTGATGCATTAGCCAGCTCACTCTATGCCATGAAATATGGCAAGTTTCCTATTCAGTTTTGAGTTACATTATCGTATAAGTTAGTAACTGGTTCAGGACTGAGAAATCTTCTGCAAGCACAAAATTGCTTAAGCCCAGCAGATTGATGTGGATGGAGCCAGTTTTATTTATTCCAGAGGAAATATTTTTTCGATTATATCAACATAGCTGCGGCCCTTAACATTCCTGTTACATCCCCTGGGCATTTCAGAGTATTAACCGTATTTTATGAGAGGTTTTAAGCTTCTGGATACTTTTGAAAGGAATATTCATCTTCACAAAACTCGCCTGCCAGTCGTTAGCAAGCTAATAGGCACCATTCTTCAAAGAGGGAGCCTGAAAAAGTGAGTATTTTTCTTGAAACAAAGAGAGTAGAGAAATATTTCACTTAAAAATTTACCGCAAATAAATCTTCCTAAGCTTTTAAGCCTACCAGGATTTCATCTGATAAAGGCCTATGAAATTCCTCTGGGCAAAATACACAGGAATAACACATCAAAATAGAGGCAGTGGTACTTGCAAGGAAAGAAGGAGTAGTAGCAAGCAGCATTTGTCAGAAATAAACTGCCCATCGATTCATTAAAGGGACAGCATTTCCGGAACCACTCCCAGAGCTGCTTTCTAGCATTGTTCCACAGTCAGAACATCAGAAAAATTCACCTTTTCCACCACCACCAGCAGCATCTACCCATCCTCTTCACAGACCGCTTGGCAAGCCTAAGGGACACTGAAGTCCCAATTCCACAGCTCACCTTGTCCCTCAGGAGTTTATCTTTCCAGGACTTCCCAGATCCTTACTCTTGATCCAGCCAACTGATAAACTTTGAGGATGGGGCTTGGGAGCCTGGGAACCACTGGAGTTCCTGAGATCATGATTTCTCTCTAACCAGCAATGACCTCTCCAAAGGAGTCCATCCAGCACTCTGCTCTTTTCTATGAGAGGAGCTAGGACACCTCTGCAGCCAAGCAGAATGCTAGGTTTTAATACAAAGAAAATCAAATCTAAAATCCCAAATTCATCACAGAACAGTGACCTCCCTGTGCCAGCCCAGATGGGTTTTTTCTGAAACCCTGGAAAGGACTTACACATTTTGAGCAGCTGTTGCCAGTATCTTTGTGTGGCACAAAGTTCACAGCTCTGCCAAGGGTTTCTGTTCTCTCCAATAAATGATGCAATATTTTAGCAACAAATCACACTCATAATCACAGAAAAAGACTTAGAGCCACTACTCTGCAACACATCATAAACTTTTTGCCAGTCTCCAGAAATTCACTCAAGGTGGGTAGCCCCTTTCCAGTTGTACTGCAGGAAAAAAACCCCACTTGCCATGCGGGTTTCAGCATCTACTTGTTTGCTGAGCTTGCAAGAACACAGCAGCTGGGAGCATTGTCTGGATCATGGCAACAGGCACAAGTGACAAGACAGGAGACTGGCAGCCTGAAGAAGACACAGCTGTAAAACCGCTCCTCAAGATGATGTCTCAACACAGGAAGTGGCTGTTCCTATCTCCTCTGCCCTGCATTACAGTTTCCCCTCACACTTCTCCATTAAAAGAAACTCATTCAAAGTCATAACTCTGTTTTTGAGATCTTGGGAACTACCTTAAAAAAAACCAAAATCAAACCACCAAACCAACTTTTTCATGCTTTATTGGCAGGATGAGGTTAATAAGTAAGAACACTGCTACATGTTTAACTGAAACAGCAACAAACGAAAAGCCCAGTGTGAATGATTCAACATTTACTGGGAGGCTTAACAAATTTGTATGTCTTCAGTTTGAGAAATTAAAGCAACATGTAAATCAATTAATACATCCAGATGTTTGGCTTTCTTTAAGTGTGTAGCCACATAAAACATCTCTCCTTCCACATACAAAATTCAATATAACAACCTCGTTATTTATCATCAGTTCATATATTAATTAAATAAACAAGAAGCAGCTTAGATCAGTACCACAAACTGCCATCACTCAAAAACCCTGTACTTAACCCAAAACACCTTTGCTGAACAACAATAATCACTTCTAACGTTCAAAAACAGCAAGAATCAACAAAGTCAAGTTGTTGGATTCTGTTGTTGGGCTCACATTGATTGTCACCAACAAACTTCATTAACTTGTAACACCTTCACACAAAGTACTGTCGCATGTGATCTGTACAGATCTCAACTGAAGCAATCCTAGGTGAGGGATCAGGCTCACACTGAGTGTGATCCTTGACTGAAATGCAGAAATCACCTACTTAAAATAGACAGGACTTCAGCATTTCAAGAATCAAGATGGATGACCCAATTTCACCAGCCCTTGTGTACATCTGCACACCCAAAAAGCAGCCAAGGAAATATTAACATGCATACCAACAAAATTTTCAGTAAAAAAAAAACAAAACAAAACAGGAGATTGTTTTGTACCAAGAAATGAAGACTCAATTTCTTGACAAGCCTTTAGCCTATTCGTGCTCCTTTGTACCATGTTACCATTTAGTATATTAATACTTAAAGTGGCAATAAAAACAGTTACTAACCTGTGGGAAGAGAGAGTAAGTTGCATTGTCGATTGTGACAGAATATAAAAATTCCCCATCAAACCAGAGGTTCTTTCCCATCGGGGAGTTCAGCTTTGTCATGGCAAAGAGCTGCCCGGGGTCACAGCATTCTTCCAGCAGCTTCCTAGAGAAGGTAATCAAAAGAGAAAGTGTGGTATTAATTAGAGCCTTGGCACGCCTTCGTTAACGACCACCCCTCACATCTGAGATCCTGCCACTCTCTGATGCTCCGAAAGCCAACCTTCCCAGCCAGCAGATGAACCAGGGGTGACTCTTTTTTACTTACAGAAAGGCTAGAAAAGCTGCTTTTATTTCAGAAAATCTTAGAAATAGATAGTAAAAATTTTAAGTTTCCAGTCAGAGTGGCACAGAAATAAAACGAAGATTCAGCAAAGGAAACTCCATCCTGTACAACACATTTTAATGGATAAAAAAACTGGTCTCCAACACATGCAGAAATCAGTGAAGCTCCTTTGAAAATTAAATCTAAGGTATATCAAAATTCAGTACCAAACCTTATTCATGAAGAGCAGGTTTCCTAAAACCCCATAGTTACATAACTTATGGATGGAAAAATTTGGCATCCCTCTTCAGTTACTGAATGTCCTTGTGTATATTCCCAGCAGTATTAGAGCCTGCCTTCTAACTCAAGTCCAACTTGAGTCATCCCAGTATGATAGATATATATAGAGAGAGACTGAATATTATACCTCTTAGTTTCCTTGCTGAAACTGCATATCCTCTTACACATTCATTTCCCAAAAATACTTACTATTCGGCTTGAGTAGAAATTTGAGAGCTGGTGAGCTGGTTGAAGGTTATATTGAGCAAAAGTTCTATATCACAGCAAACCCAGCAATTAATATCCTAAAATACAGAATGATGAAAAGGACTAAAGGTCCAGAATATCCCATCTTTCCATAGCCTGCATGGCAGCAGAAAGGGTGACACTCATACTGGGTTTTATATGTAATAGATGTATTTAAAACACGCATTGCAGAACTATGCCATTAGAGTATATTTTCATGTTATTATATACATTTTTCATATATTCTAAAGGGAATCCTAAAGAGACTGGTACCATTTCCAGTGGTTGCATAGGTCGAAAAACATCAATTATTAGTGACTACTAGAATGCTTGATGTAGCTGTTCTCCTCTGAGAAAGAGGAGATTTTATTCAAAACCATGAAGTCGCTAATGGAAATTTAAATTTTTTTAGCATTTTTTTAAAGTTTTACAGCTACTTTTCATTTCTAAAAACTAATACTTGAAAAAAAAAAACCCCAACATTATTTTTCCCTGAAGTTCATAGCTTTCTGCAACTGTGTATTACTTTTTAGACATACTTTCAACTGAAAATCTGATGAAAACTGGAAAACTGTAGAGTAGATTTGTGATAATCTTAGCAAAAGAAGAAATAGCTCAAAAGTGAACTCCTCCATCTGCATAAATATTTCAGGAAAGATATAAATCACTGTGCTCCGGTGTGTAAGTCAATTCCAAATTAATGATGTCTAGGACAATACTGTGTCTAGTTCTAGATCCCAAGGTCCTGGAAGATCAAGGAAGATGCAGACAGACTGGAGAGGGTCCAAAAGAAGGTCACCACCAATGATCAAAGGGCTTGAAAACCTGCCCTATGAGGAAGGACTGAAGAAGTCAGGTCTCTTCTCCCTGGAGAACACAGGACTCAGGGGGGACCTCATTGCAATTTTCCAGTAATTTCCAAAATTAAAATTTCCAAGTGAAATCCTACAACTCACATCTTCTCTGGAAATCTGCAAGAAGCAGGACAAAAAATCCCAGATAATTTAGTGTAAAATTATCCAGGGAGTATTTTATATTAACGAATCTTTCCTTAGCCAGAGTAAACTGATAAGGAACAGTTCTTCTTACAACTCCCTCCACATTAGACTACATATATATACCTACTCTTTCCTGTTCCCAAAAAAGCATTATTTCAGTTCCCACTGAATCCTTCATTAATAAACCTATTATGAAAAGCAGTAGATGTATCCTGTAAGGTCCACAGATAGGCAAGTCACTAGTTCAAGTATGTATCTGTATGTACTAGCACAAAAATCTTGGGCACTCATATGTGCTTTCTGTCAGAAAAGAACAATTATTAAAAGTCTCACATTATTCAGTCTCTGTTTCTGATCTAAATCCCAAAATTACAAAGCAAGAAAAGCTTCATAGGAAAATGTTCATTAAAAAGCAGAATGGATTCAAAGGCAAACCTGAAGCAGGATACTTTGCAGGGTCAGGGAGACTGAACTGATTTGCAGAGTTTGATTAAAATGCACAACTAAAATGTTACGACACAATTTGCAAAATTGCAGCAGCTTTTAGCCAAGAATCTCAATTCATTGGAAACATTTCTCCACTAGCAGGACACAAACAACATGCTTTTGTCTCGAAGTTATCTCCAATTCAGAGGAGACCTGCGTATGAGAGGACTTCAAGAATATTGGTATTGAAAAGGCACTGGAGGCCCTCAGGTCTGAGAGCACTTAAGGGACAAATCCCTACTAGTGAGAGAAGAGGGAGAAGAGTTACTCTGACAATCTCACTTCAGGCCTCTGAGATTTCAGCTGGAACTGGGCACCAAGCAGGTCATTAAGTACAAGGCAGCATCAGCACTGAAGCGGCTCCGCACATCAACTCAAGCAGCAACCTGTGCACGAGGAGGGAGCTGAGCAGCAGTTTTGAGCCGTGTCCCAGCCGTGCCCCCACAGCGTAACTGGCTGGGGTGAAATAAAGACAAGACAAAATAAAATAAAAATTTAGCTACGTTAGTGTGACTTCGCAAAATTGTAACTACTTGAAAGAAGGTCGTTGCCCAAATTGTGGGCAATTAAGACAAAGCTAGCTTACCTAAACAAAAGGGACTGTCAGGGAAAGCGGGAAAGACGTTCAGCACATAGCATTGCAAGGGAGACAGAAGAGGGGTGGGGGGAACCTAAGCTGTTTGAAACGATAAAACTTTATGTAACTACTCTATAATAATGAGAATAGGAGTTAGGCAACCAAATGTCTATTTAGATAAGGCAGACTTCATAAAGAGTGTATATGATAGATAATTTTTGAAACTCACTGTAGAGAAAACTGTTGTGTTTCTTTTCTCAGTGGCCATGCACAGGGGGGGTGAAACGCCCCTGCATCTCCTCGGCCGTAATAAAAGTGTGCTTTATATATATTGTTTAAAGATTTCTTTGAATCAGGGGTTACACCAGCAGACACTGCACACTGACAGAGGCACAGTGGTACCAAAGATCCTACAGCCACAGTACCTTATTTTCGTGGGTTTTACTCCAGGCTAAGTCTGGTCTGATTCCATAAAGATCTTATGAGTGGCTGTAGCAATGGAGTGCATTACTGGGATGCAGTGAAATCTGGGGACAACTAGATTTGCCTCCAAAGCCCACCTCTAATGAAAGGGCTAATATGGGTGCACCCTTCTCCACCTTAAAACAGAGAGGAAGCCAGACCTCGTTGCCTAAATTCATACATAGTCAGTGAGAGAGCTTACATAAAAATCCCAAACTACTTGTTGTTCATCTTAAGCTTATGAACTTCTCAGTTTGATTTTACTTTGCAGCTAGGCAATGCTTAATCTCACCCTGGTTTGACCAAAGTCCCAGTCAATAATGACTCAGAGTAGCTCCTTCAAACATCCCAAATGACAGCAAATATAACACCTAAAACCAGAAATGGGCAATTCCATAGTACGGGTGTTCAACCAGGAAGTTACAGCCCTTTATGTATCTCTTCTGCACAGGTGTCCTGCCTTCCCAGTACACCCCCCACTTCTCCAGCTGCCTTTGCTGCTCTACATGAAGTGCTAAGTGCCACCAGCACCAGCAAGGGAGGGTGAACAAAATTATTCCTCTCAACTTTTTCCTTTTCGACCCATGCAAGGGAGAGGTAGCACACCAATGAGGAGAAGGTCAGATTGACAGGGAGAGCCACTTGTCAAGCAGCAACAACAGCAAGGCAGCTTCATGAAGCTTTCCCCAGGGAAGTGGTGGAGTGGTGGAGTCACCATCCCCAGAAGTGTTCAAAAAACAAGAAGACATGGTACTTCACAATATGGTTTAGTAGGCATGGTGGTATTTTGTTGCAGGTTGGACTTTCGTGGAGGTCGTCTCCAAATTTAATGATTCAATGATTCTGTGAAGGAGGACTGAAGGCTTAAGCCTGATCTGAACAGGACTCCAAACAAGTCTGCAGAAGAGTTCCCCATGAAGGATGATCCAGTGTACATGGGATGGGGAGAGGGCAAGAACAGCTACAGCCTGATGCTGCTCTTGCAGGTCCCAGCTAGTGTCAGCAATCCTCCCACTAAATAAGGGCAGCATGGCTTTAACAGCAGCAGTAAAATAATGACTCAGGTTCAGGTTCAAGTTTGAGACAAAAACAATTTGTCAAATGAATTGCTTTAGTCAGACTCTGCTCAGCTGCCTGGATTTATCTGATGTCACATTAACCTTTGTCCAGCAACTGCAAAACAGAACCTGGATCTGAAGCACAACCGTGCAGTATTTGGACTGGCATAAACCTCCTTTTCTTTACATTGCAGTTCACATTCACCTCAACTTCACATGTTTTGCTTTGAGATCAAATGACTCTGAAGGCTCAGAGAAAAAAAATTAATCTGCCTTCGGAGTTTCAGCTGGTGTCAAGCCAAAACCATCAGGTCTTCACTCACAACCAGAGATTTGTGGCACTGCTGAAATCCAGGGTACGGGTGGTCGCTTGGGTTCACTAGGGAATATTTGCGCAGCTCCATTTCAGTGCAATTGCTGAAGTGCTTCCATTCATGTATCCCCCCGTAGAGGCAGGAGGACCTACCAAGAACCTCATGGAGTCCTCAAACTAAACCAACACCTATTCCCCAGCATCTGCATGCTTAGGGATCCTGAGCTAACATCCCTATTGGAAATACTTCAGGGATTAATACCAATAGTGGCTGTGAAACGCAACCGGTCTGAGCACCTCCAACACTGTGAGTCTCAAAATCTAACTGTCAAATTCTCCTAATTAGGTCTTTGGTGTAGTGCTTCCATAAGAATAACACATTCAGGTGTTTTTGCAAGAAGTTTTGGTGGCAGGGGAGATAC